CAAAATCCTCACAAACGACTCCCTTTTGTGGATCTCTCTCCCGGAGGACTTCATCAAAATGTCAGGATGATCTGTCGGTTACTGTCTGGGCTCCCTGTACTACTGTGAACCTTTGAACCCAACAAGGCCTTCCGACATTACTCTCCAAGCAGAGATTGTTTTTTAATTAGAAGACATGCCGATGGCACACGACAAGCGCATGAACGGACAACAGACTTACTCATTTTCACCGTTAAGTGAGTTAAGTGGGGAAATTCGTGTTAAATTCCTTCCTTTCCCAATGGCACAAGATCGGTGGCATAACAGGATTCGAACTCGGGACTTCTTGGTTCTCTGTCGTTACGCCACACGACAATCCTGATTTGCGTTTCATGAGCAGCAAAATCCTCACAAACGACTCCCTTTTGTGGGTCCCTCTCCCGGAGGACGTCATCAAAATGTCAGGATGATCTGTCGGGTACTGTCTGGGCTCCCTGTACTGCTGTGAACCCTTGAACCCGACAAGCCCTCCCGAAGTTACTCTCCAAGCCTAGGGTTTTTTTCTATTCCAAGATTAATTAGACATGCCGACGGCACACTCAATTTTTTCAAATTATTTTCATGCCTCCACTCATTTTCACCTGAGTTAAGTGGGGAAAGTCGTGTTTTTAAAGTGCCTTTCCCAAGGGCACAAGATCGGCGGCATGGTAGCAGGATTCGAACTCGGGCCCTCTTGGTTCCGAGCCCAACGCTCTGTCGTTATGCCACACGACAATCCTGATTTGCATTTCATGTGCAGAAAATTATTAAAAACGATCCCTTTTGTGGGTCCCTTTCCCGGAGGACGTCATCAAAATGTCAGAATGATCTGCAGTTTACCGTCTGGGCTCCAAGTGCCACTGTGAACCCTTTAACCCTACAAGGCCTAGCGTGCTCTTATATAGACGTTTTTATTGGGTTTTCATTTTTGTACTGGTAATAGTGGTATCAAAATGTCAGGATGATCTGTGGATTACTGTCTGGGCTCCCCGTGCCGATTTGAACCCTCGAACCCGACAAGGCCATCTTCAGCAAGCACCACACAAGCTTAGGTCACACTATCTCAATTCTATGGATGACATCTTCCGAAGACCCTCAAACTAGTGCGCGCGGGCTAATAAAAAAAATTCGGCCGAAAATAAAAATGTTCTTAACCACAGGAATCATTGACAAAGCTGGTATGTTGAATTTGCGGTAGCGACTTTTACGACAAGCAGGCACATGCTGGCCTTTTGCGGCATTTATAAATCGGCAATCTACTGAGTTCTTGAGACGTAGAGTTTCGGCAGCCTGGGTGCCGTCCTCCGTAGTTGCCGCCGGCTGTCTATTGTCGCTGTACGATGGACCTCACCACGATCCCATAGGAGATATGACGACCTACGGGAAAACGGGGACTACTCCCTCCTTATGGTCTGATCACCCAGGAGGGAAGAATAGATGTTGTTTTCGTCGTGTTACGGTCAGGCGGGGACAATCATGAACTGCCCTTCGGTCGGTCGATATTAAATCATCTCGGCATTGACCGGGGATTATTAATATCGGCTCCGGGAACGGAGAGATAAGTCTTCCCGGAACTTAGCTCGCGATTATGGATTCGTAACAAGGTTTAATAGATTCTTCAGCTTAAGGCCGAGCAGCAGATTCGCGGAAGGAAACCAGTTACACTCCAATGGTTTGGTGGAAAATGTATAAATTATCCAAGTAGACTGAAAAGCAAATCAGCCCCAGACATACCTAGAAAGTTTTAAACAACACCTGTAGTTTAAAATTGCAAAGATTGGGTCTAACAGGTCGTTCTGTGTAATATAGACAGCTGCCGCCGCGCCGCTGGTGTGTTGTACAGAAGGGCGGTTATACCGGCTATACAGATAGAGAAACAGATACTCGTACCAAAAACAATGCCTCAATTCTTCATCGAGGTAAAATACGCCTAAATTCAAACCTCTGTTTGGAGAGTACAGTAGCGTTACGAATCGGCTGTAGTCCCGCCCATGACGAGACCGTTATCTGCCGGGCGCACTGCGGTAGAACGGTCCGGGGAGGGCTAAGATTCGCCACGGGCTGCCGAACCATAATTACCGCTCTGGTCTCAGCCGCATCGATCGCAATTACACACACAGGGCGGCCAGGCGCCGAAATATGGACTGCGGAGAGTTAGCTGGAAACTGTTTCAATGATAGAGTATAGACGGCAAGCTTAGGAGTGGGCTAAGATATACGTTTACAGCCTTTTCTTTTTGTACTATGTTCTGGATCAGCAGTTGTTGCAATGTCGTGCGATAAAGTTTATCTTTATCCGTTTCTCTTTTTCCTAAAAATGTAACCTCATACACCGTGGCCGTTGGCTTTACGGCCCCATCCCAAAGGACGATGCGACTCTTTTCCAATATAATCACAACAAATGATATGATGGGCATCTTTTGTCGCTTAATTTTTAAGTTAAAACTTATACCGGTACTGTACTTGCTTGTACTAGTATTTGTATCTACTTATTTTCTCCATTTTGTGTTGATCTGCAGGTGATGCAGAGCGTTGGTTATGTGAACAGAAACGCCACCTACTGGGACGAACTGAACCTGCAAGTCAAACAGGTGAACTGGACTGAAAGTCTCTCATTTCTATCCCTTAGTCTTGAAAACTCGACCGATGGGGTACCACAGAATAACCGACAGCCAGTTTTCTCACCCTTCTCGGTTTTTTTTTTTTTTTTTGTTCTCTGATGCTGTGCTCCCATCTTATCCGTTGCCTACCCCTCCCCCTTTCGCCCTCCCTGTACTGTTCCTTGCATTATGGTTTTGGCTATATGTAGTCCCGATGACTATATTAAAGTACCGAACAATATAAGTATCAATAGTACCAAGATTGTCCAAAATTGTAACTCCGTCTTCTTCTCTCCCCTAGATCATGTACCAGCTCGGACTCGAACGTGAACCGCAGACGCCCAGAAAACGCGCCAAGAAGACCCGGAGGAGAGGACCGAGGATGTCTAACCACCGCAGTCAAGTGGAGCTCTGACTTCTAGCCTCCACCAGGCCTTCCTAGCCTCCACCAGGCCTTCCTAGCCTCCACCAGGCCTTCCTAGCCTCCACCAGGCCTTCCTAGCCTCCACCAGGCCTTCCTAGCCTCCACCAGGCCTTCCCAGCCTCCACCAGGCCTTCCTAGCCTCCACCAGGCCTTCCTTAGGAGCTCTGACTTCCAGCCTCCTCCAGGCCTTCCTAGCCTCCATCAGGCCTTCCTAAGGATGTCTAACCACCGCAGTCACCTGGAGCTCTGACTTCTAGCCTCCACCAAGCCTTCGGAAAAGCACAACTTGGCAAAATTAGTTCACACTGATGACCAGCTGGAAAGGGGTTCTGCGGTAAAGGTTTCTTTTCCCCTCGGAATAACTACGCGGGCAAATGGACGGTGGTCGAACTCCCCAGCCTCCCTAGCCTATTTGGCTACATTTTACTGTTTTTTGAACCGCGTTGTTAGTCTGGTGGATACTGTCTGACTTCATGGTTCGTGAAAAGCAAATACGATGGACAGCAACTATTTTGTTCATTGTTATACATCGAGCGACACACCTACGATGTTTTTTTTCCGCGAGGACCGTGCCGTACGTCGTAAGTTTGGGAACAGATCGGCCCAATAGTTTTTAAATTATTATTAAGGGACAACAGACTTTTAGTTGAGTTTACGAACTGTCATACTAGTACAGGCTTTACCGAAAGTGGTAGCACAACAGTACTTTCTGAGTTTACTTTTATGCACATACATATACAGCATTTAATACACTTCTCAAAAGACTGTCTACTTGTAGTTCATTGCAATAAGTTTTGACATAACTACATGTAAGTACTGTAAACCACTGTTCTGGATATTCCCCGCGTATCCAAGCATGTAGATTTGCCTCAGGCACGGTTCTGGATACGCGTGGGCTATCCGAGACCGTGGATAAGACATGGTTCTTGATACAGCATAGTAGCTTCTACCAGGCTTCGGGAGGCGGCTAGAAAGAGTAGAAATCAGTCAATACTATATATAGAGATAACATGTCAGGGGAGTTGGTCTGCTAGAGAGGACAGTTTGCCGCACTCGGACCAACTCCCCTGGCTTGTTATCTCTATTTGGCCGATTTCTACTCTTACTGGCCGCCTCCCGAAGCCTGGTAGAGGCTAACAGCATAGGCTAAATTTGTCCCATCGGCATCCACCCCTACCCGACCCGGCTGAGTGGTATCGCCCGGCGTGACATCGTCCCTGACACGAGGGATATTTTTACCACACTGACGCTGTTATGTGGTGTTATGTGCTGCATGGTGGATATGTTCAAACCGTCCACCGGGGATTCAGTACACAAATTAAGACAGAACGAACACAGTTTAAACCAGGGACGGTCTTGCTTTGAAGACTGGAAAATATGGAGCTGATAGAAACTGGTAAGTGACGAAGTTTTGTGTTGAAAGCTTGCATTATTAATCATATCTCATACAACAGGTTCTAGCTAACATGATACTGTATCTGTGACGTCGCCTGTATTCCGCTAGACCCAGGAATGTGTTACTGTGCTGGGGACAAGTCTGTAGTGTACCGATGGGGGTTATAGGAATTAATTGCAGGACAGTCATACATGCGCTACAATGTATGGCAACAGCCATTGACCCGACAGATGTATAAAATAAATTTAGCATCCTAATTACCAGAACAATACTAGAATAACAAGGGCTATAGCTAGCATAAGCATTTTGATATAATATTAATGTTACAATCGAGTGGGGCCAATCATATGCTGGGGTATCATTATATGGAACATTGGCTGATGTTGATCGTCTTACTTTGACGCGGCATAGTATTTAAATTGTTTGTTTGTTTCTTTTTACTGTGAGTAGAGAAGTGTAAGAGTTACTATGTACTATGGTGCTGGAGAACAGTGCGATGGTACTATGACGCTACCTTGTATGTAAATTGTTTGTTTATTTGTTTGTTTTTCCCGTCAGGAGAACAGTGCGATGGTTACTACGACGCGGCGATGGGCCGGCACCGAGAGGCGTTCCACTGTCCGATGTACGAGGGTGCGGAGGGGAAGAGCACCTGGCTCTACTGCTGCGGGACTACCACATTCAGGTACTGCTGTAGCCTGGGTGCCAGACTGTTTCTAGGGTCTACACAGTTCAGTTGGTTGGCAACAGGGCTAGCCTGGGTGCCAGACTGTTGCCAGGGCCAGTATACAGGCTAGCTCCTCGGCTCCAGGGCTAGCCTGGGTGCCAGATTGTTGCCAGGGACAGTATACGTATGCAGGCTAGCTCCTCGGCTCCAGGACTAGCCTGGGTGCCAGACTGTTTCCAGGGTCTACACAGGCCAGTTTCTCAGCTCCAGGGTCAACATGTCACCGAAGAAATTTCTATTTTTGTTACTTCACTTCAGTGTCATGCTGATCCATTCTCGTGATGTTACCTTTCCCGTTTTCTTCCGTTCGGCTGCATACCTCTTTCCTCTTACCTTTCAGGTACTGCTGCCCCTTCAAGGAACCCGACATCATCCCCTTAGACATCAACCTCAGGTGGGTATCGTCTCTAGAACCGTGCATATCTAGTTCTATGCCTGAATGGGTTAGGGATAGAGTCAAATGCAATTCTGGATAGTCTTTGTGTATATGTAAATCTGCTCCATGTATGGTTCTGGATACGCGTGGACTATCCAGAACCCCTTGCTTCTTTTGCTCTATGCCTAAACTTGTTAGGGGTTAGGGATAGGATCAAGTACAATTCTGGATAGTCTTTGCGTATCCAAGAACGCAGATGTACCCCAGACACGGTTTTGGATACGCATGGACTACCCAGAACCTTCTTAGATGTTTGATTTTGTCACAGCCTGCTTGAAACGTTCATGGCATCAAAATCTCACGAGATTGTGGTAAATATTATAATAATTGTTGTTTTCCCCTGCAGTGTTGGAGCGTATTTCGCCATCGCGTTCGCCTGCCTGGTGTTGTTTCTCGCCGTCACGGTTCTCTGCTGTTTCTTCTTCCCCTACTGCTGGTTATACAAGATGAAACACCCCAACAGGGACATGCAGATAGACAGTAAGCCACTACACTAGGACAGTATACTAGATAATCCTTACTAACAGAACAAAACTACAACGACTTTCGTATTGTCTTCTGTATATAACTTTATATGCAAATCAACATTATATATATTTAGAGAAGAGACCGATAGATAGATAGATAGATAGATAGATAGATAGATAGATAGACAGACGGATAGAGAGAGAGAGAAAGAGATAGAAGCAAATATAATGGCTATTTGTAGAAAAATAAACTTCTATGTCTATCCCTCCCTCTCTCTCTATCATATTGACAACTATACTAGTATGTTATAGATCCTAAATCATTGTAAATTTGATGCATGTTTACTGTCATAACCACATAACTGCCTTTCTAAAATGTTAATATCATAATCACCATTTCCCCTTCTTTCTTCCCCCTGCAGTAACTGCCTGACTTTGACGCCCTTTCCCATCCCATGTAGCCTTTTGTAAGGTAGATTGTTAAAATCCAGTTTTGCTGCCCTGCAATCGCTTCGGATGCCTTCAACCTTTGTTTGTTATTATATAGCAGTCTATGTCCTACTTTCTACCTTGTACACCTGTCGTGCAAAAAAAGTTTATCTATAACAGCATGAAAGTTTATCTGAGTTGGTAAAATACATAATGAGAATTAAATTGTTTTCCAACTCAAGAAAATTGACTCACCGAAATTTCCGACCGAATCACTCGGTTTTAATCAGCTTTCTGACCCGAGTGCTGTAGACACGTGACTTTTACCTATGTGTGACGTCGGCACTGGGTCAAAGTTCGTCGAAAGTCGGTACTGCCACCCGTCCCTGTTGAGTTAAAAAAAAGTTTGATTCTCATTATGTATTTCACCAACTCAGACGAACTCTCATGCATGCTAAAATAAAGCTAAACATTTATCATGATCATCATATATCTTTCTCCCCCCTCCAGTCGGTGTGGAGGGTCCGACCATCTACCCGTTACGCACGATGCGGAGCAGCGCCTCGGAGCCCGCCCGGATCCCGCCCGGGCTCAGCGTGGAGACCGCCATGGTCAAGGAGGAGCGCCGCAACTCCTACCCCCCACGGGGAACCTTCCCCTTCCCCCCTACCGAGGAGATACCCTACCCCCCTCCAACTGCTAACTCTCAGCACCGTTCCCAGACATCACTGTAAAAATTTTTTATTACTAGCAAGGCAAGAGAGAGGAAAGATAGGTTTGCACAGGTTGTTGTTTCCTGGCTTGATTCTGAGATCTTCACGTTAACCCCATTTCCTCTGTCTGACCTTTTGTCCCCCTGTCATTCTGCCTGTCAATCTTCCCCCACCCACGTGCTTTCAACCTACTCTGTCCGGACAAACAGATGCCACACAATGTATATGTCTGTATCTGTATCTGTATAGCCGGTATAACCGCCTTTCGGCGTAACACACCAGCTTCGCAGGCACGCGGCGCGGCGGCAGCTGGCTATATTACACCGATCGACTTGTTACACCTAACCCTTGAACTTCTAGCTCTAGACATTGTTTAAAGCTATCTATTGACAGTGCCCCTACTGTACTTGGTGACAGTGAGTTCCACTCTGCGATAGTTCTAGGAAAGAATGAATTCTTGAACACCTCAATCCTTGGTTGATAACTCTGGTACTTGAATGCGTGGCTATTTCTTGTTCTCTTCTGGGCTGGTATTAGGTACTTAGTAGTTGGGACATCCACCAGTTTATTAGTCATTTTGTACATCATGCATAGTCTAGACATCTTTCTTCTGTCTTCAAGTGAGGTCCACTGTAGGTTTCTTTTCATTTCCGTGACACTAGCACCTCTTACATAGTTGTTCATACAGAATCTTGCAGCTTGATTCTGTACCCTTTCCAATTTGTCTTTGTCTTTCTTTGTCGCTGTGTAACTTCGGTCTTTGAATGTATCTACTCAATTAAAATGATCTATACGTCTGGATTTCCTTATACTTGTCTGTCCTCTTTTTAAGTAGCATTTACTTTGCGTCAGTAAATAACAAATTTAGAGACAAATTTAGTTAGACAACTCCGCTGAATTGAAACGGACAATCCATATTGCTGAGTATAACGTATCAATCGCGCCCTCTATCAGAATCTGAAGAACTGCATTGACCTACCGGAGGTCGAAACCTTGAAAGAAAACCTGCTTCACAACAACATCAGACGATCTGTAGTTAGTCTGTCCTCTTTTCAAGTAGAACTTTCCTTGTGTAGAGATAGCTTTCCATTGCAATAACGTATCAGCAGCGCCGCCTAGCAGCATCTGAAGAACTGCATTGACCCACCCGAGGTCGAGTCCTTGAAAGAAAATACCTGCTTCACAACAAAATCAGACGGTCTGTAGTTAGTCTGTCGGTAGAGATAGCTTTCCATGGCAGTAACGTATCAGCAGCGCCGCCTAGCAGCATCTGAAGAACTGCATTGACCCACCCGAAGGTCGAGTCCTTGAAAGAAAATACCTGCTTCACAACAAAAATGTCAAAATCAGACGGTCTGTAGTTAGTCTGTCGGTAGAGATAGCTTTCCATGGCAGTAACGTATCAGCAGCGCTGCCTATCAGCATCCCTAGAACTGCAGTGGCCCACCAGAGGTCGAGTCCTTGAAAGAAAACCTGCTTCACAACAAAATCAGACGGTCTGTACGGAGGTAATTACCTGCGATTCTGGTTCACTGCACAGTGTTGGGTCAGTGCACATCAAGCGCCAACACCTAAGTACGGATTCTTCTCTTCTCGTGTGTTCTGACAGACATGATCAACCCAATGTAAGTACAGTTAATTTTCTGTCCATTTCTCGACGAAATATATAGTTTTGCTTACCTATGAACCTGCTGTTATATGTGCTAGAAATTGTATTTTGGGGCTACTGGATGGTACATAAATAGAATTGTGGCCAAACTTGATCTGTCCAGTCAATGATCAGTTAAGCTTCATGCATGTCGAAAAACACCAAATGTCCACAATGATTAACAGGACATCACACCAAATTCTCTGTTTGGTCTGAAAATTGGGTTGGTCTACTTCAATGTTTGTGATTGCTGACAATTTTACGTGTTCCTAACCAACCCTTACCTGAGAGTTGGTGACCGAGTATTCTGACGTCATGCATGCAATTTGCAAAATGTCAGCTCGTAGTTGGAAAGAAATACATTGTACTCTCATTTTCAACACTTCATTTTTCTCTTTTCTCTTGTCGTGTAGCGACAAAGACATACACCGACTATACGAATCATTACAGTAACTACAAGCCTAATACGAACTACATCGTGAAAACATTCTTTTAAACCACGTCGCTACCGACATGACTCAAATGTCACAAGGTCCCTTGAATAGGTGTGTACGTGAGTGAGAATGACGTTAACAACCCGCATATCGCTTAAGGGCAAATTTCCACTACTTTGCCACTGTGTGTCTGGCGATAGTTAACGCTGTTTCTGTAGTGTACGTTTACAATAGCAAAGTGTTTCTGTCCTGTTTTTTACTTAATTTAAGTGTAGGGTACCGGTCATGTAGAAGTGGCCTCACCGTAACTACACGTACGTAATGTCTGTTGCATGGCAGTGGCTGGGCGTCGGTTGTAGCAAATACCTGTCAGTGTTGAAGCACCACCGTGGAAGCACACGTTTTTATACTCGTACCAGAGGTGAAAGGTCGTTTGAAATTTGCCATAACCAGCTGCCGCCTCGTGCCTGCTGTTACACTGAAGGCCAAGGGCGGTTATACCTACTATACAATACAGATACACGATACATATCCATACCAAAAAGAAACAAGCCACCATCAGTCTGACTTTTGTTCCTTTTTCGACTTCCAAAAATTTGTCTTCACTTTATTTGCATATCAATCAATAGTTTGTGCTCAGTATAAACCTGCATTTCTCCTCTATTTTCTCAGTCACTGACGAAAGCTAGTGGATACTAGCTGAAACGTCTGACGTTTTCAAAATCATATCCAGTTGCTTGTCAGTAACTGCTTTTTGGCGAAGCCACCATCAGATTCTTAGCTTTCTCGTGTTAACGTTGCAGTTTCCTTCACTGAAGACCTGGTGCTCTTAAATGGCTCCACGGTTGGGGCTGGACTTGCGCCTTCAGAATCAGTATGTTTATGTTATATTGATTTTTTCTGCTTTTGCATCATTCTGTTTCTTTCAAGTTTCGTCAAAATAGATTGGACATCCAGGTAATGAGATAGACAAGAAGATTGTTACCCAAGCCAGTTTAAGCCACCAATTCGCTTGGGTAACAATGTCCTTGTAGTAAAGTTTCCTTCCGTAAAAATGCCTCAAATAAGTGGCAGCAATATAAGTTGCTATTTTTTAACTACCTACATGATCAGTATAAGATTACAGTTCTTGACATAGATGTTGATGGAAGTGTAGGTTTGCATAAGTTAGGACAACATAAGTGCGCCACAACTATAAAAGTACTTGTCGTCTTATTTGACTACAGAATATGGATATGCAAAGGGAATGTAGTCCTTCTTTCTGATAGATTTGTCTGTTCTTCACTCAGGACTTGATGTTTAAAATTGGACCATGCAAAGACAAAATACTACAAAAGATTTACACGTTACTTTTCCAGGCCTAGACTAAGTCAACCAAAGTTCGCCATGGACAAGAGGAAGATGTTGATACTACAGACTGTCGCGGTTCTGTTGATTATCGTGGCCTTCATGCTTCTGGTGTACGAGTTTCCGCGGTACCACGCAAGACAGGGGCCGGTCAACGGGCAGACTAACAACGGACAGGCACAGGGCGCGGCGGTACAGATGCAGAGTATGCAACAGATGTACGTGTTTGTTTCTTTCTTTCTTTGTTTGTTTGTTTGTACAAATAAGAAAACATAGACGGACAGCCCAAGACACTGGGATACAGATACTGAGTATGCAACATATGTACGTGACTGTTTTTACCTTGGCCTAGACGTATATGTTTTTGCTAGCGTTTGTACAATGTATGCATACGTATGTGTGTATGTTTGTATGTATGTGGTTTAGCATAATAATTTACGAAGCTATGGACGGATTGCTATAAAATTTCGTGTATGGTTAGGACTTTACCAATCCAAGAAACGATACGATTTTGGATACCTGGTGCATTTCCATGTAAGTATTAACCTCTAACTTAGGAATATTTCCTCTATCGTAGTATGACATGGAACACATTGTGCGACCACATCAGGAATAACTTCGTCTTCATAAAGGTAATTTTCTTCTGTGATATTTCTTTTTTCTTCACGTTGTTACATCTTTCCATGCTGCTTTTTGATTAAATACTAGCCAACAAATATGGAATATATAATAGTATGTGATTACTGTTATCGTTCCCGGATTCACGCGTTATTTTGCCGTGCCTCGTCCCCAGGTGAACAGAGCGGGCTCCACCACCCTCCAGTGCATGCTGATGCGTTACGCCTACAACCACCATCTACATGTCATACTGCCCAAAACCGGTAGGGGATCTTTTTCGTAACCTATGTTTAAGCTCCAGACCTCAGCTTTATGATAGTGGGTGACTAAATATATAGGCCATCTGATAGATTGTTTATCCTTCATTCTATCGAGTCTGAAAAAAACCCTGTCGCTTTTTTGCTTAGATAAAAACACTCTCAGATTCTTAGATTCATTGGAAACCAGTTGAATAAATTATTTTTATTAGTCTGGCGCATAGCTTTGTCCCACATATATTCATTTCTACAAACGCTGACTGACACAAGCAGTCACGGTGAGAAAATGTAGTTATGCGCCACTAGAAAATGTCCGTTTCCTAGACATTTGCTACTTTTCAAAGTTGATCGTACACGAGAAAATACATGTATGTATTCCTTCTCCCTCCCCAGGTCTGGACCTGAAATGGTCGGACAAAGACTCTGCCCGCAGTTTTGAGGACCTGCCCTGGGCCGATGACGTGTACAACGTCATCGCGCACGGGATGACGTATAAGTGGCGTGTGCATGACGTCATGCCGCCTGACGCGGCGTACTTCAGCGTGCTGAGGAACCCAGAGAACCACTTCAAGTCCATGTTTCACTATTACGACGTCGGGAAAGTGCTGGGCATCAGCGGAAAGAACCAGGCCAGCAAGCTACTCAAGGTACGTGTATCATTGATGTGTTACACCATTGGACTCGCCCTACTCCGTGGAGTGGCTGTTAACACATACCTAGATCTGTGACCTACGGACTCTTGTTGTAATTCCAAATAAGTTATTCAAAATAAACTAAAATACGTTTTTAATATATAGATAGTACAAGTCTTAACACTACTGTTAGTGTCCTGTCCACTGTATAACCGTATGGTCCAAAGAGTGGTCAGTTATTCCAACAAGTGGTCGGTTATTCTAATAACTGACCACTTTTGAGGTTACGGACTGATAACCAATGGCAAATGGAGCCTTCCGATTGGTCGACGGCTTCTGGCGGCTATATGATAATATACTATATACAACTGCTTAGTTGAAACGTACTCGTTTGATGATCTTCTAAATTACTTATACTCCGTAGAGCCCCGCTAGTATACAACTAATTAGTTCTAGCGTACTCCTTTGATGATCCTCTAAATGAATTGTTTATATCTCATAGAACCCCGCGGCTCTGACCAGCAAGAAGGGCGGCGTGTCAGAGACACAGTTCGTGACGTCAGTCAGGATGTCTGCGCAGGCGCGGGACCTCGGCTTCGGGCCAGGGACAGACTTCGACGAGGGAAAGTCACTCGGTGCGAAAAAAAAATTCCTTTTTTTCAGATTCGTGTTGTTTTTCGTAATGTTCTGTTTCTTCTTCTTCCTCTCGAAACAAGTAAGGTCAATGACCTGGACCAGACGGCTGTCACCATGGTAACTGGTGCTGTAACCTGTGGTGACACCCTGTGGTGTTGGATTACATTATGTAGCAATATTAAAGTAAAAGCAAAAGGAAAGGAGGGTCTTGTCACCATCTACATGAATGTGTTTGAGTAAGAATAAACAGAGGAGTAGTTAGTTATGCAAGCTATATACCATATAAAGGTAAACATTATGCAATCGCTTTGGTGATTTCCTACCTTCCCTCTCCTTGTAGCGATTGGGCTTCCAACTTTTTCAAAGAAATGTATTTATCTGATAAAATATTTTGCCAGAAAACTTCCGTAACATCACGCGAGACTTCGGCATGCTGGTGATCCTGGAGCACCTGTCCGAGTCTCTGGTGCTGCTGAGGCGAGTCATGTGCTGGAGACTACAGGATATACTGTACCTGGAGAAGTCTGTCACCCAATACAGGTAAGGTGTGTGTGTGCGCGCGTGCGTGCGTGCGCGCGTGTGTGTGCACTCCTCTATTTTGTTGGTACATTAGTGCTGCTAAGCTATGTACTTCTTAACAAACTTTGGCTTTTCTATCTGTCTAATAGAGCTATAAGGACACGCCTATGGGACCTTGCTTACTGTGCAAATTATAATACATTTTGACATTTCTATCTAGCTGTGTATGAGTCGAAGCTATGAGTTATTTTGACAAACCATTGATTTTTTTAATGTGTTTAACACAGCTACAAGGACACCCCCATGGGACCCAAACAGCTCGCCAACCTGAGGAAGATCAACAAAATCGACTTCCAGCTGTACGACTTCTTCAACCAAACGCTCTGGAAAACCATCAAGGGTCTCGGACCGGAGTTTCTCGACGAGGTGAAGTACTACCGAGAGGTCAACATCGAGGTGGACAAGTTCTGTCGCCAGATAGAGACGGAGGCCACCATCTCCAAACTGTCCATCCCGGAGGGGAAATGGACGAAGGGTTTTCTCGTCAGCCAGAGGACGTGCGAGGAGCTGAAGCTGGAGTTCGAGGACTGGCACAACAAGTTCGTCATGAGGAGGAACGCGGAGGTCAGGAAGAAGGAATCAGAAAGTGGCGACGAAGGAACGAATGAGAAGGTGGGAAAAAAGAGTGAGCAGTCCACAGCGGATATACTGAAGGAATTGAACGCACCAGATGAGTTACCCCCACCGCCTGGGCAGCTACCGCCTGGGCAGCTACCGGCTGGACAGTTGCCGTCCTCGCCTAAAAACTTACCACCCGTGCCTCTTGCAGGGTTGCCGCCTAAAAAGCTGCCGCCCCCGCCTGGACGGTTATCGTCTCCGCCTAGAAAGTTGCCGCCCGTGCCTTCTGATGAACAGTTACCTAATGCAGAGATACCGCCTGCACAGTTGCCACCTCCGCCTAAAGAGCTAGAGCCTTCGTCTAAACAGTTACCACCTCCACCACCACAGTGACGACGCCTTACATACCTTCCCACTGGTGGCCTAAGCAGTGTGTTTCCGTGTATGTTTGTGGATAGCGTTCAGCACCAAGGACAGAACATCGCCTAAAAACTTACCACCCGTGCCTCTTGCAGGGTTGCCGCCTGCACAGTTGCCACCTCCGCCTAAAGAGCTACCGCCTTCGTCTAAACAGTTACCGCCTCCAACTCCACAGTGACGACGCCTTACCTTTCCGCTGGTGGCCTAAGCAGTGTGTTTCCGTGTATGTTTGTGGATAGCGTTCAGCACCAAGGACAGGACCTCGCCTAAAAACTTACCACCCGTGCCTCTTGCAGGGTTGCCGCCTCCGCCTAAAGAGCTGCCGCCTTCGCCTGAACAATGACCGCCTCCACCACCACAGTGACGACGCCTTACCTTTCTGCTGGTGGCATAAACTGTCTGGGTAATATATGGGATAGCGTTCAGCACCAAGGACAGGACCTGGTGTATTTGTGCTTGCATACCTTTCTCTCTCCCCCCCTCACACACACACACACACACACATACACACACACACACACACACACACACACAAACACACACACACACACACACAATCACAAACACACACACACACACACACAAACACACACACACACACACACACTCTATCTTTGTGTGTGTGTGTCTGTCTGTCCATGTATGTGTGTGGTTAGCGTTCAGCACCAAGGACAGAGCCTGGGGCTTTTTGGTGTGTGTGTGTGTGTGTGTGTGTGTGTGTGTGTGCATGTGTGTGTGGATGGTGCTCAGCACCAAGGACAGGACCTGGTGTATTTTTGTGTGTCATGGTGCGTGTGTGTGTGTGTGTGTGTGAGAGAGAGAGTGTGAGCGTGTCCAACATAGAATTCAACAGATAGAATATAACATGACTGTTACGATATAGTTAATGTCATAATGAACTATTTCACATTGAGTAAAAATAAAATTAAAACTGTGTTACAGTTCTTAATGCAATATACATCCGGGTGTAGACAATCCAGCGACCTGTTATAATCAGTCTCAAAGTTAGATACAAATATCATGGTGGTGTGTTATGCCGAAGGGCGGTTATACCGGCTATACCGATACAGATACAGATGGTTCAGTGTGCTTTATGTTAGTAGTATGCTTTCCACACCTGTTTATCGTTTAAACCATGCTGTGGTCTAGTTATCTTCATCATACGTGCTCCCCAGAAAGTGTGTACCTTAACGATGGTTTGTAAACAGCAAATTAAACATTTTATCTGCTCTTACAACTGGCCAGCGTTGTTATTTTAAACCGTGTCACAACCATTATGTGATCTCCAAGCAAATGAAAGACGTCGTAAAGATTGTAGTGAGGTTTTCTGACCGTGTCTGCCTCTCAGAATAGTTCGTAGGCAACCCTGTCAAATTTTCGGACCTTCAGGCGGCCTCGACCTAAAAACACTTCCAGCTTCACGCAAGTACAAGGCACCTAGAGTTAAATACCTAGAGAGACTTTTGACTCTGAACTGAACCATGCGAAAATGAGCACCAAGAGACCACGTCTAGCGACCGGTACAAATAAAAACAAGAGTAACTGAATTAAAGGACACTAAGGAACGTGAATAACTGAATCTGTGGGTGTAAAAGACAATTGCATTTAGCCGTGTGTTAGTAAAACATATAACGTTATATATATACATATATACAAGACGTGTGTAGGGGCGACTCAATGCAGCAGGGTCCTCGCCAGTCCAGTTTTGAACTGGGCGAGGGACCCCGCCTCCGCCACACCAGGCTCAAGTTCGTTCCACTCTTTGATGGTAATTATAAGAGGGACGAACGAGAGCCTGGCACCGTCTTCCTGTCTCTAACATTATAATATGTAGGATTTTATGCTATCTATTTGTAATAACTGGGCGCAAGTTGTAAACCCTCGACACATTTCATGCACTTAATGTGACGTTTCCAGTCAATATTCAATAAAATCTGAATCTATAAATATACAAGGTGTTGCTCAGAATGGCGCTTGTGCCCTTGGGAAAGGACGTTCCGCACTTAACTCAAGTGAAAGTGAGTAATACTATTTGTCTTGTTTTGTGTTTTTGCCATGACTGAATTTCGCTGGGTGACATTAAGACCGCGACATCAGGGGTCATCACAGGTCCCTGACCTTCAGAACTGGTCTAACCACCTCTGCTGACGCGAAAGCCAATTAAGCTACTCTCAAAACAGAATTTCGCGTTTCCGCCTACTTTTGACGTCTTTTTAAGGTGGTTTTCTCCGTTTTTTTGTACCGATTTCTTTGTCTTCGGTGCTGTTTTGAATACTGTACGTCCTGTTAGAATTTGACACTCAGTTTTGACAGCTTGATACCATCTTGCAGCCACCAAAAAAAGATCTGCCATGTTTTTTGAGGGGAACGGAAACAACGACATGGACGTCGGTGGTTCCTCGACTGACGACAACGCTTACAGGCACCAAGGATCCATTGTAGTCCCTGCTACCTACCTCGTAACCAAGATCTTACTCAAGGCCCTGATCGTAGGGCTGGCCCTCCTTGTCGGAACTGGAGCGCACAAGCTGTGGCAGTGGTGTCGTTCGAAGGCGAAAGGGCAAGCTGAAACAGAAGGTAAACTAGAAAGAGATATAACATTTGCAAACCTGCACGGTAGAGTGACTCCCACCGACCCTCTTAGGCTAATCTGTCTAACTGTGTGCTCAAAAACGCACTGCATGCAGATTTGGTGCTCCAATGTGTCAACATCAGCACATTTGCTGCCGAGAGAGCCGTGAAATTATTATTTAACACGAAAAGCAAATGCATAATGTTTACCTTCCCATGGTCTAGCGTTACAACCATTACTTTATTTCCGTGTCGGGCGCTTCGAGCGCCCAGCCCGTGTGGGCTTGTAGACACCATTCCATATGGAAAATTCATTGCAAATACATGACCGAAGACTAATTGCAAATACAAATAAAATTTATGTGAAAGAAGGTACAATGATATGAGAGTCTACGTGATACTACATACTACAACATACGTGGTATTTTGTTGGGTTTGACTTCTTCTTTTCAGACAGTGGGAGACGAATTTACCCACTTCGTCTATACTATATATGTGGGTTCTTTGATTTGATAATACAATATGAGTAGTACAAAAGAGAGAATTAGGGGTACAGAAATATCAACAGAAAATCAGGGGTACAAACTACTGCTCTGTTTATCCTTACCCAAACACACCATTATATATAAGGTGACGCTAGTCCAACTCTGTCTTGCATTTCGTAACATGATGTAACACGACGCCACAGGGTGTCTGCTACAGCACCAGTTACCATGGTGACAGCCGTCTGGTACAGGTCATTGACCTTGTCTGTTTTGAACGGAAGAAGACGAAACAGAGCACAAAAACATTACCGAATTCCTTTCTTTCTTGCAAACGAAATTTAATTTAGGAACGTAGCTTCCGATCCCGACGCCCCATTCTACTCGTATGCACTTACAATATATGCATGCAAAAAAAATGAAAGCATGGGAACTTGTTTCAGGAGAAAAATCCGAAGACCAAGCGGGAGATGTCCAGGTTTACCACGATGATGACGATGATGATGACGATGATGACGATGATGACGATGATGACGTCACAGCCGATGACGTAGAGCTTGTTCCTCGCCAGTCAAGCACCGCGCATGGGCAGTGCAAGGAACTCCAGTCGGTAGCTTGATCAAGGCTTGCATAGTTTGTGTGTGTGTGTGTGTGTGTTTGTGTGTGTGTGTGTGTGTGTGTGGATAGCGTTCAGCACCAAGGACAGGACCTGGCGGGTGTATTTTTGTGTGTCATGGTGTTTGTGAGAGAGAGTGTGAGCAGTGTCCAACATAGAATTCAATAGATGACTGTTACAATATAAACTATTACACATGGAGTACAAATAAAATTAAAACTGTGTTACAGTTCTTAATGTAATATTCATCCGGCTGTAGACAATCCAGCGACCTAAGTTATAATCTCAAAAGTTAGAAGATACAAATATTATGGTTCAATGTGCTTTATGTTAGTTATATGCGGGTATTTTAGCTCGAGATCGGTTTTCCACATTTGTTAAACGTTTTAACCACGTTATGGTCTAGTTAGCTTCATCTCCCCAGAAAATGTGTACTTTAACGATGGTTTGGTAACCAGCAAATTGTGTTAACCAGCAAATTAAACATTTTATCTGCTCTTACAACTGGTCTAAGCGTTGTTATTTCTAAACCGTGCCACACCCCATATATTATATGATCTCCAAGCAAATGAAAGACGTCGTAAAATATTGTTGTGAGGTTTTCTGACAGTGTCGGCTTCTCAGAATAGTTCGGACGTAGTCTCCACCAGACTTCTTTTGCAGGCTGAATGAATCGTAGAAATCGGCCTAAAAGGGTATTAATTGGCGAGAGAAGGTAGCCGGTCATCGACGATCAAATTGGCCTGGATACTTCGCACCTATTTAAAACCCATTTGTGGACTTCAAAGAGGATACCGACTTCTCACAGACTTCTTGCAGGCCAATTTGATTGTCGATGGCCGGCTACCTTCTCTCGCCAATTAATACCCTTTTAGGCCGATTTCTACTAGCGAGTTATTCAGCCTGCAAAAGAAGTCTGGTGGAGACTAGTTCTGACGCAACCCTGTCAAAATTTTCGGACCCCCGGACGGCCTCGACCTTGCAATTTTTCATTCTGACGTCTGGAATGTGATTATATCACGGCTGTAACGTGTCTGTCTACGGCAGAGGCAGCCTTTTTAATATGAACATTCATGAGTAGTAGCCGATTGGTCTGCCTTTCACATTCCTGACCCTCAGGCTGAAACAGCTAACGTTACTAGTATCCTGTACGCAGTAGTTTACAACAGGCGAAAGGTGCGTTTTAAAAATTTTGTGCAGACATGAACTGCAAATTGTCAACTGGAAATTGGTTTACTTTCTTTTAAGTATCATTGTGTGTAATAGTCACCTGTCTTTTTGCGTTTTTAATAGACTGAAACAGCTACTAGTATCCTGTACGCAACAGTTTACAGCAGGCGAAAGGTGTGTTTTAAAAAGAAAATTGTAGGCATGAACTGCAAATTGTAGACTGGAAATTGTTTTAATTTCTTTTATAAGTATCATTGTGTAGTGTATGATAGTTACTTGTCTTCTTGCGTTTTTTAATAGACTGAAACAGCTACTAGTATCCTGTACGCAGCAGTTTTAATACAACAGGCGAAAGGTGCGTTTTAAAAATTTTGTGCAGACATGAACTGCAAATTGTCGACTGGAAATTGGTTTACTTTCTTTTATAAGTATCATTGTGTATAATAGTCACCTGTCTTCTTGCGTTTTTTAATAGACTGAAACAGCTACTAGTATCCTGTACGCAGCAGTTTTAATACAACAGGCGAAAGGTGCGTTTTAAAAATTTTGTGCAGACATGAACTGCAAATTGTGGACTAGAAATTGGTCTACTTTCTTTTTCAAGTATCATATGTAGTGTATGATTGTCACCTGTCTTCTTGCGTTTTTAATAGACTGAAACAGCTAGTACTAGTATCTTGTACGCAGCAGTCTTAATTTAATACAACAGGCGAAAGGTGGGTTTTAAAAAGTAAAATTGCAGACATGAATTGCAAATTGTAGACTGGAAATTGTTTTAATCTCTTTTATAAGTATCATTGTGTAGTGTATGATAGTTACTTGTCTTCTTGCGTTTTTTAATAGACTGAAACAGCTAGTAGTATCCTGTACGCAGCAGTTTTAATACAACAGGCGAAAGGTGCGTTTTAAAAATTTTGTGCAGACATAAACTGCAAATTGTAGAGTGGAAATTGGTTTACTTTATTTTTCAAGTATCATATGTAGTGTATGATAGTCAACTGTCTTCTTGCGTTTTTTTAATGTTCTGATTGTGACGATTTAATATGAAGCAAAAGTGAGAATGAGTCATCATGGGCGCATCAAAACGCTAAGACAAAATCAGCGCTTGCTATGCAATAACAGGTTATCTTCTATTAACGATAGATATAATATTACTTCTTGTTTCAAAAACAACTAGGTAGATATTTTAAATGTGTTTTATTTCATCATTTACGCGCGAAATATTTTCCGTAGTGATTGATTCGTTACAAAATCTATTTGCGTTTCTCTGCGGTGTGCATGCCAATCTTAGTGTCACGACGCCGAACACCGAAAGAGGAGAAGTCAACATTTTGTGATTGTGGTGACTGTTTTTGTCGGCAAACAAACGTCCAGCAGGGGCGAACAGGCATTCAGGAGACATGCTGGCCATTCTGTCCACGCTTCTGGTGGTGTTGGGAGCTGGTAAGTCGAGATATTTGGATCTGCACGTACTGATGTTACCACTGTTTATATTATGTCGTACATACATGCGTGTGTTGGGGAGGGGGGCATTAAGCTAGCCTCCATAGCATGCCAAAAACTGGGGGTTTGGGGGGTCTTCAGGGTCTTTGGGAGCTTTTATGCGCTATTTTCTGATTGCATATAGACAACATAGCCGGCCTGGTTGAATTACCCCCGTTTTTTTAGAACTGGGCTAATCAGAAAACAGCCGAACGAAGACCACCAAACCCCCAGTTCTATAAAAAAGTATAAGCCTGCTACGGAGGCTAGCACTATAAAGCCCTTTCTTGTGAGTTTGTACTTGCCTATTCCGCAATGTTTCTTCACCTTTGTAGCTTCGATGTGTAGTAGCTGATTTCCAAACTAAAATTGTGGAATGTAAGTTAATGTATTAACTGTGTAGAGGTTTAATTAAAATGACAACAAACAGGAAACAAACACTACAGGAAGGGAGAGGCATATGTCACATGTACATCTGCATGTCTGACATGTTGATTTACGAATAAAGGATTGGATTGAATTTCAAATGGCTCATTTGCCTTTCCGAAAATATACTATTCATTTAGAACGTACATTACTTCTGGACGTTTTGAGTGACAAAGAAAATTCATCACTTGCAACAATTGTCTTCTTCACTACAATGAACTAACAGAACTTAATAATCAATGTAGTCATATGTTAGTCTCCACCAGACTCCTCTACATCTGGTTCTAATCTTCTAGCTAAATATAGGAAGCTCGAGGACACAAGGGAGTCTGGTGGATGTATTCTTTATTTTCTTTGGGCCCTTGTCGTCTTGCCAGACAATCTGTATAAGGAACTGTAAAACAACGGTTTAGAAACTTACTAGTAGATGTACTCTGGCACAATCAGTCTGCCTAGAGCCCGGACTAAGAGACGTAACATTTTGTTCCTTCATTGCGCTGTTCGCCTCAATAACAAGACAATTCAGCAGTAGTGATGTACCTAGCTAAATCCTACGTGATAACTGCATATTGTGTACAGATTTTAATTGTGTAAAACTGTAATCGTCCAATATGTCTTAATAATGTGTTTGCCTATGTTGTTTCATGTGTACAATGAAGAGTGTCACAAATCATTGTTTTTAATGCTCTACATACTATGTATTAGTATGTAATAAGGGCAAAATTCGGGTATTTGCCCGCAAGAGCTTTACCGAATAAAATTTGATTTGAATTTTGATAGATGATTTTTTCTCTTGTCCTGTGCAACAGCATCTGCAGAGTACTGCAGCAGTTACACAGACGCGTTCGGGGACTACAAGTCTGGGTTCAGCTGCCCCAGGAACTCTCTCTTCAGCTTCAACAATGATGACAACGATGACATCTACTGCTGCGGTACCAGTACCTACAAGTACTGCTGCAGCTGGAGAGCTGGGTAAGTTTCACTGTGGTACCAATACTGTGGTACCAACCTGTGGTACCAGTACCCACAAGTACTGCTGCAGCTGGAGAGCTGGGTATGGAAAAGTTTCACTAAATCACTATTAAAATACTCTGGGGTACTGCTGCACATGTGGTGCCAGTACATATAGAACAGCTGTGGTACCAGTTGTGTACCTGCATGTACATGTAGTGCTAGTTAATCTGAAAGTAGCTGTGTAGGGCTCGTAATGCTTTATTTTTTTATTTTCTTTGAACTGGTGTTCAAAGGTAATATTTGATATTACTTGCATTCATTGAGACAGGTACCAACTTACTTTGAATGAAGACCACGTTTTCTAAATCTTATACCTTCTTGCTGCTTATTGAGAAGAGATTTTTAACAGTCACATAACACTAAACATGCGTTTATTTTATTTTCTGTCTTCAGGAGCTTCAACATTGGATCTGTGATGGGCGGGCTGTTTGCAGTGTTTGTGCTGGTTGTCATAGTTACCATCATCTCCTGCTACATGTGTAGCTGCTGTGTTATCTACAAGCGACGTCAGGCAAACCGCGCCCATGTCATCACTACCACCGGTAACTATGGGTTTGGTTTTGATCTTACAGAAAGTTTTTATTTACATAGGATAATGTGACAGAAAACAGGAAAAACTAGCTTAAGTGCACTATGAACTATGTACCACCTTTAGTGCACTATGTACCAAGTAACATTTAGTGTTAGTGCACAGTAAACCAGTCAGAATTGCCCTGATGAAGATGACAGACGGTCATCGAAATGTCAGCTTGAAAAATAAATGGTTGACTGTGATGAAAAGATCTTTGCTATTCAGTCGTTTACCAACCTGATGAAATTATTTACGGAGATAATGTGACAGTTTTGTAGATTGTTAAGCCACCTTATATGTTGCTGTAAATGCCGTAATATGTTCTGTCATGTCTTGTCAGCAGGGCAAACCCTTTACATAGAATAATGTACTAGTAATGTGGATTGTTAAGCCACCTTATATTTTGCCGAAATGTTTTGCGTGTGTGTGTATGTGACAAGACACATACACACACATGCAAAACATTTTGGCAAAATATAAGGTGTCAAATTTGGCAAAATAACAGCCCCAAATTTGGCAAAATATAAGCCTTGATAGCCACTGGCTAGTTTGGCTGCCCTGACTGTGAGGGTTAAAAAGGCAGACCAATAAGTCACATTTGCACCTATTTGAGGACAATTTACCAACATCGTACAGTACATATTAACTCACTGCTTATTTTTTCTTCTTCTCACAAAGGTGGAGCTCCAGTCGTGATGACGACTACACATTCAACAACAACCTATCCACAACCAGGACCACAACCCTACCCTGGGGCACAACCCTACCCCCAGGGGCAACAACCCTACCCCCAGGGACCCCAGCCCTACCCACAGGGACCCCAGCCCTACCCACAGGCTCCACAACCCTACCCACAGGCACCGCAGCCCTACCCTGGTGCACAGCCGTACCCTGGGGCCCAGCCCTACCCTCCCCAGCCCTACCCAGGGGCCCAGCCCTACCCTGGAGCCCCAGGGTCAGAGGCACCCCCACCCTATGCCACAGCCACGAGCTACCCATCGGGGAAGGACCCAGCCTACCCACCACCCGCCCCTCTACCTTACTGAGCTGGGAGAGAAAAGAGCTTGTCGTATCCAGAACTGTGTTTTATCCATAACAATGGTTAGGCACTGTTCTGGATAGTTCATGTGTGTCCAGAACTGTGCTTTATTCAGAAACATGCTCGGGCACTGTTCTGGATAGTCCACTCATATCCAGAACTGTTCTTTATCCATTAAACCATGGTCAGGCATGGTTCTGGATATTCCACGTGTATCCAGAACCGTGCTTTATTCAGAACCATGGTCAGGCACGGTTCTGGATAGTCCACATGTATTCAGAACTTTGCTTTATCAAGAGCCATGCTTATTATTCTGGTAGTCCATGCGTATCCAGAACCATGCAAGGGGGAGGGTCTACATTTTTGGATACACAGGGACTATACAGAACCGTGCCTGATCCTAACCCATTCAGGCATAGAACTAGATAGACATGGTTCTGGATAGTCCATGGTTAGCCTGGGGCAGATCTATGTTCTTGGATACGCGGAGACTATCCAGAACTGTACCTGAGCCTTACCCTAACCCATTCAGGCATAGCACTAGATAGGCATGGTTCTGGATACAATAGAGACTATCCAGAACCGTGCCTGATCCTAACCCTACCCCATTCAGGCATAGTACTAGATAGGCACGGTTCTGGGTACAATAGGGCTTTTGCTCACAGGCGCTGACTTCCGAGCAGATCTTTCATGAGAAATCATCGGTCAAGACTGTATCCAAATGGCAGAAAGTATCCAACTGGTCAATTGGATACTTTCTTGCCTACTGGATACTGTCTTGCCATGCAGCATGTAACAAATTTTGCTGATATTATAACAACATTTTGTGGCAATATCTGTTAATAAGGAATAGGGATCAATTATAATTGACACACATGTGGACATTGCTCGCACGCATAGCTGGTTCTTATGTCACAATAGATTATGCTAAGAATAGGCAGGTGCAATCATGAATATTTTATGCAATTTTCAACTGGCAATTCAATAGCCTCAGAGTGTTTGCATATATTAAATCATGTCCGGGCCTTGCTTGCCACGCAACTTACCAGCACGTCAATATTAGATGTTTTCAGCATGTGGCTATGAATGAGCGCCTACTTTGGGGAGGGGGTCGCGTAAGTGATTACAAATTGCGCAAAGTTTTCGCCGCGAATTACGTTAAATTTTCAGAGCTGATTATGTACAATTTTGCCATATGGCTAACGTACGGATTTCGATGGCTTTGGGTGACTACCTTCAGATTTACGAAGACTAAAAAGGCCTGATTATGCTGTAGGAACTAGGCCAGAACCTCATGAATATTGATGTGGTCAACTGGTTCTGGTATTTACATCAACAATCAAGTTTACGTGACTCTTGCCACACCTTGTTTTTTTGGATGTTGGGACCATTAGAGGTTGTAGAGGACTAACACTGATACTACGCTACCATTGTGAGAGTTATAAAAATATTTTTTTTGCCGTAACATTGCACAATATTCCTCTATATTGAAACTAGCAATATTTTGAAAACCAGGGATATTCTTGTGACTTGTCTAGTTTTGTAAAAACGTTTGGAAAATGTATTAAGAATCTGATACTATCTGGATGTATACATGTATGTACCTGAGTGTATATTCGTATATACTGAGATCTATGTTGTTGTTAAGTTTGAAAATGTTCACTTAGGTGTCCACAATTGTGTACTACACTGTACACTATATTGTACTTGATAGTTTTTTTTTTCTCAAATACTTTATCGTTAGAGTTCCAAGGTATGCAGCTTGCTATCCGAACCTATTTTAGTTAAACCTATTTCAGTAAAATGGTATCTTAGCTGCACAAGTACTTTTTGAAGTCGACAAAATTGTGAAGAGGACAAAAGAGACTCTGCAGCTAAAATAAGTTTGGATACCAGGCTGCAAGATATGATGTTTTGTAACACCATATAGGAAAACTGCAATGTAATAACGTTACATGTATACTATGTACTGTGTTCAAGAAAGTGTAAAGCTGTAAGTATTTTCCTAATAATATATATTCTGTACCTCCAGTGCTTGAAGGAGCTGAAAACCATATGTAGATGATCTGTATGTTTAATGATAATAACTGGAGTGGTTTGCAAAGATGTTATAATAACTAACTGTCTTATATGCTGTGTGAAATACATTTAGTTGTATTAGTAGATTCATTACCTGTGAGAGTACAGATTTGTACATTGTCTTGTATGAAGGAAAGATGAAGTAGCGCACTTCAGGTTTAACTTACAAAAATGCATGAGATTTAATACACATGAATCCTACAGAGATCTATGAACATGTAGTTGGTTCTTACCCAGACATTCCATACTCGTCTGGTAAGTTACAACCTGTATGTGTCTCATAGTTTTAGCACTTGATTTGTAGAATGTTGCATGTATACAAAAAGTGTCCCCATGACTTGTTTGGCACATAAAGAAATAGATGTTACACCAGGTCATCGGACTTTTATTTTAGAGTCACAAAATTGCTTTAAGAACTACAACAGGCAATACTGTGAATGCTGATGAAGTGCTATGTTAAGTTAAGTGTCTACTTCTCAATAAAGATTATGTACATGCAACTACATAGTCATGTACATTGTCATTCAACTTTCAAGATCCTTAAGTCTTCCAGCAACTTGCTATAACTGCTAACAAATATGTCAATTGTATGATCTTTGTGGTATCCATTTGCCACGGTGCCCAAAGTTTGGCTGGCGAAAGAAAATAACACACCAGTACTAAAAGGAAACCCGATTAAAACGCATATAAAGACGTCAGAAATAGTTCAAACCCTAAATATCTGCTTGGAGAGTAACTTTAGATCAAGGTACTTAACAGGTGGTTGGAAGCAAGTTTCCATATTCAGGCCTGTCTGTCAAACCACGAAAGAGGCCTAAAAAACAGTCAAACCATGATATAAGTTCCACACTTTGTGTTCTCCTATCCACTACGGTTCTTAGCATTGACATGGGTGACTGTGGGACGATACTTGAAACTATTGTTTGATTGTCAGTCTTAAATGATACGGTAGTATTTACAGTCTAAAGTGCCAGAACACCGCATTGAATCGTAACGACTTAAATACAGTCTGCATGCAAAACATTCGTACTCTTCCTTGCTAATAATGTGCCAATCTGTTTTAAAAATAATCTAAAATAAATCTTTTATTACGTCCACAACTTTAATATATTGATGTAACCCCCAAGTCTTTGATTTTGCGCTTTTTGTTCAATATTTATGCTTACTTGATCGTTCGCGTTTGGTTGCGGTGGCCAGGTAAGTAAGAAAGAAATTAATGGCGGCGATGCGTTCAGATCTGACCTGACGGCACTTTTCAGAAGGAAGTTAGCTGAGTTAGATCACAATATTTGACAGTTTTACACGCTTTAATCGTGTTTATAAACCTTTGCGTTGCTTCCAGTCGCGATGGACAGAACACAGAGACCGTTGCTAGCTGTGGGGACGGTGATTTTGGGAGTTCTACCCGACTTTATAGGTGAGTTGTTGTGATGTTAGGTAACTTTCCACTACATGGAGGTTACACAATGACTCTGAAATTGGGTCAGACTAGGTTTTCAGTAGATCGATCTAGGTTTAATTTAAGGCGCATTTGAGCTACATATTTAGCTGAAAAGTGTCCATGAATGTACATCCTATTATGTACTGGTTTACCCAAACTTGCTCGAAGTTTATATAATGTATTGAATGTTGAAGGAAATGTACAGAAACGCTCCCCTTAAGAGCAATTTTAGTTAATAATAGTCGCTTGCGAACACTGGTTTGACTGGTGTAAGCTCTGATATATGAGTGATTATAAATGCATTGCCCTAATTTCTCATACGGGCCTTGTTTTCGTTTGTCATGTTTTGTTGAAGCAGTGCAGTTTGTCATGGTTGAAGAACTAGAAGACTTTAGAAAGAGATTCTAAGGTATCGAGAGTCTAGATCGAGGGTCTTGTACGCAGTACATTAATTGATAATTGAACAAACTGAGTCTATCACTGCGGTAGTCATTCTATTGCAGAATTTAATTTCACTAACAGGTGGTTGTAGACGACATCAGTTCTTAATTGGCAAAACTACTTACTGTAACAGCAACAGTAAATTTGTATCAGTGAAGTTTGTCATTTATGAAAATCAAATCCTGGAATCCTAGGATGCTAACTTTGGAGCAGCCTTTGATTGAGTTTGAAGCAGATTGGAGGAAATTGAAAGTCTGCAATGTCTATACTAACTTACTATAATACCTAACCATTATTACCCTTACTATTATGATATCATACTATATTGAATAATTTCCTGTTAAACTTCATCATTCTTTTTTCCCTTCCCCCTGAAACAGCCCTTTGCAGATGGCTACTCTAGTATATGGTAATGATTATTTTTCAAACCAACCCATTCTCTTTTTCTTTCCAATCATAAATCAGCCCTAGCAGATGACACAGATGACTGTTCCCTGGGTAAGAAGATTCCAGTGTTCGGCTGTACCCCTAACGTCCTGGGCATGGTGGCCGCCTGTCTGTTTGTCATATTTTATGTCAGCACTTTAAGACTTAATAAAGAGATTTCTTATTTTCCAGCCCTAGCAGATGACACAGATGACTGTTCCCTGGGTAAGAAGATCCCAGTGTTCGGCTGTACCCCTAACGTCCTGGGCATGGTGGCCGCCTGTCTGTTTGTCATATTTTATCTGAACACTTGAAGAATTAGTACTTTTTCTCATTTTCCAGCCCTAGCAGATGACACAGATGACTGTTCCCTGGGTAAGAAGATCCCAGTGTTCGGCTGTACCCCTTACGTACTGGGCATGGTGGCCGCCTGTCTGCATGTTTTATGTCAGTACTTGAACTTGAACATTTCTCATTTTCCAGCCCTAGCAGATGACACAGATGACTGTTCCCTGGGTAAGAAGATCCCAGTGTTTGGCTGTACCCCTAACGTACTGGGCATGGTGGCTGCCTGTCTGTTTGTTCTGCTGCTCCTGATCATCGGCTGCTGCTTCTACAGAGGATGTGACAGGAAGAACAAGAAGAAACAAGTCCCGACAGTAACAGGTAAAGTCAGATTTCTCATGATGATGCACTGTGTTCTGTGTACTGCCACATAGTTGTTGATACACCCTCTGGCTGCAGTACTATTAAACTGAACTTAAGACTTTAGTGGGTGTGACATTGTATGGAAACCCAAGAAGGAACAGGTCCCTACAGTAACAGGTAAGTTCAGTGGTTCTGAAACGTAAAATTACCTTTACAGGGTTTACGGGGTTGGTATGTATCTCGTCCTGATCAGGGACCAAATTGGAAGTGGGTGGGCTGAGATTCGTTTTCAGTTGATTGACAGGGTTGTGGCCTGGTATGCTATCTATGGTAGTATGTAGTATGAAGTCACCAGGTACATGTATGTCTAGTTACTGTGTAATCATGGTATGAAACATAAACCATGGTGTAATAGAATTGATTACGCCAGACTCTGAAATTTCCGATTTCTACTTGCTTTAATATCCGACTCATGTTGTTGTCCTAAAGAGCTGGGAAGATACAAATGTATAGTTATCCTCCATTTGTGCATCAACACTCCAAGGTTGTAGTCATGAAGAATATAGGCTTATTAAGTGCTACTATTTTCTTAATGCTTACTTGCCACTGATATCCCATATTTTATCCCCCAGGTGGCCTGAGTTCAGATCAGCCGGCTACAACAGAAACATTCCCCATGGCCCCTCCACCCTACTCCCAGTCAGACCAGCCGTACGCAGGGGCACAGGTGTATTTTGTACGACCGTATCCCGGTGCTGAAAATCCACCCCAACCAGCCCCGGGCGGCCAGGCTACATGGACCGAGCCTCCTCCACCTTATACAACAGACACTAAAGTACCTCTGTGAAGCCAGGGTTGACACTTCACAACCCTTAACAACACATTACAGACACAAACAAACATAAATACACAAATAGACTAAACGCACAACAATTTAAACACAGTTTTTAAATATGAGTATCTGTACTGGCAGTCTGGTTTAAGAAGACATTTTATTATTCTATCAATGTTGTGGATGTTGTGTAAGATTCTTTTTTAAAATATAAAAGAAAAACATATTTTCCTACATGTATGCCTTGCCTTGAATGTATCAATGATACAAACAATACCAACGTGCTTGAAGGATGAATAATTATGTTTTTCTTCAAAATTTGTTGCTTGGTTGATTGATGGTGAAAGCTGAGTTGTACATAGAGTTTAATTGTTTTTCTTTTAATAAAATAAAATTATATTCTAGGGAATAGGTTTATCCTGATAATCAGTGATATACTATTTTTATGTATATAGGTAGATCATGCACCTAGAAGCTTTTCTGCAAACTGCAAGTCACAATCATGTTAATTCCTTCCATATTTTACGGGCTATAGCTAGGGTTAAAGATTCAGGGAACTATGCACACTTTAGTCAATGTGTGTTTGTGAACTGTCTAGTTTCTAATGTTGTCGAATGAGTTTTACTTATAATAGGTATATATTGTAATGACAATACTTCATTCATTATATTGTAACATTTTATCATTGTATTGTACATATGTGTGAGAGAAGTGGTTTGTGCCTATTAACAGTCTGATCAAGGTGGAAGTAATAAAAATGTCTGCAGAATTTTATAAAAATGTCTGCAGAATTTTATACACATCTTCAATAGGGAATAAGAAAAACTATTTTGTAATTTGGTGAGGAAAGAATTGTATATACATCAAGCTATTACTATTTCCAAATAAAGAAATTTATTGACACCTTTTATGCTGTTGTAGTTTGTAAACCTCATAATGCCATCCTTGTAAT